TGCAGTGTCGTTTGGGCACTTCCTAGTCGTATACAAAGAGAGGAAAACATGATTTCTTCTGATCCTTGAGTCCAGAGCTATTTTCTTAACTGCTAAAGGTGTTAAGGCCAGTGTTCTGGCCTTATTCCCAAATGGGTAATTGAATTACTTTGAACTTCTGCAAGTTCAGTTGGACGTAGAGTTCTCCACTTTCTGCTTTTGGATGTTCTTATGGGATTATTCTGTTAGATTCAGTGCCTGCAAAGCTCGTGTTGGGAAAATGATTCCTGAATTTGTGTGGGCTTGGGTTGTGGTTGTGGGTGAGGAAAGCCAACGTGCCTGGTTACATATCCCCTGCTCAAGATCAGTGCTTTCAGAATGGGGAGAAAGCCCCACGTTTATGGGGAGAACTTCACACAAAATAAGCTTGAATATTCTTGGTATGAGAGAGAAAAAGGTATTGAGAATAATGTCCTTACACAAGCAGGCTTCACTTCTCAGAGGTGTGTTAGAAGTGGAAATAGGTGATGCTGTATCTGACTGGTTGGGACCTGCTGGGTATTCTAGTTTCTGTAGGTTTGGGAGTAGGAAAAGGGCTTTTTTTTTTTGCATTTCTTTTATAGGTCTCCCTTCATCTGATATTTAGGCACCTCAGGTTCCTTTTGGATGAGCCATAAGAGATAAGCATGAAGTTTTAATGCCTTACAGATACCAAGAGGCAGTAAGTGGAATTGGGCCATCTTACATGGGCATGGCTGCCAACTCAATGTGAGAAATGTAAATAAGATATTTTGAGCTATCTTTTTTTTCCCTGTCAGAATCTAAATAAGCTCAATCCATTTTAAGGCCCGGGTTCAGCTGTTAGAAAATGGGTGAATTTTAGTTTAGAGTTTAATTAGTTCTTTATAAAAAGCCTTATTTTTGAATTTCGGGGAGATGAACGCATGGCCGTTCTTCCTTGGTTGAAACCTTTTTGTCAGCTCTCTCCATAGGGAAGTTTGACACCTTGTCACGACTGGTGAGAGTTTTGGTAAGCCAAGCTATGGTAGTGCTGAGGATATTTTGCTAAATTGGCAGGAAAGTTTGTTAAAGTTGGATCACAGCAAAGCAGTCCATCACAGTATTATTCTCAGGAACAATATTTGCTGCCTTGATTTTTCTTTTGAACACCTCCAGTCATTCTTGTTATTTTTGCAGTTGATTGTATTTCCCAAGGAAAAAAGAGGGGAAAACAAGCTGAATTATAGCTAGCTAGGATATGAGGCTCTTAAAGCAGTACGGGTGGGTAGAGAGGAGAGTAGAGGATAGCCATTAATTAATGAGGTGAATGAAATTTTGATGATTCTAAAATGGTTGATTTACTCAACTGCACTGTAAATTGATTTTCAAACAGGATTAAGTTTATTAAAAATATTTTGAAAATGGAAAATAACAGAAGCTTTGTTAGAATAACGTTTCTAAATAATCTTAGTGTAGTTATTCATTAAAAGAGGGTAGATAGCTCGTAATGTTGGAACATGTTCAGTAATACGAAGTTTTGCAATATTTGTTTTGTGTTTTTAATGGAAAATTCCCAGTTCCTGAAGTTGTTCTTAATACACAAAGCTGACTCAGAAGCATTTTTTCTAAACCTTATGATTATATAGAAAAGCACATGGAAATGTGAATGAGAGTTCAAGACCAGTACCTGTGTCAGACACGGTGTGTGCTGTGTTGGCAGCTATAAGCACGGGAGTTTCTCACTCTGTATGTGACACTGGTGAGATCAATGAGATGCTGTGGATGACTTTGGTTTGTTGTTTTCTTTCCTAAGTGTTGAAAAGTTATGTAGTGTAGAAGTTGTGTAGGTTGGAGGGCTAGAAGAATATCTTGCGTGGACATCTTTAGCAGTGACTGTTAACTACAGAATAATGGATTTAATCTGGCAGCTCATTTGCTGTTCTTCAGTTCCTTTCTGCAGCTGCTTCAGGAGCAGTCCAGAGATTAACAGTATCTGTGGGCCACAGATGTTGGATGTCACTGAATATATGGTGCAGAATGGCCTTGTTCAGCAGCCCGTGCATCCTGTGCGCATCACCATGCATGAACAGTGAATCCTCTCTGCACCAGTGTTGGACAAACTGGAAGCCACATCACTTTCCCACGCACAGCCTTGTACCACTGGAAGCAAAATATTTATCTTACATATAACCCACGTCTAGAAGCTGAGCCCTAACATTTTTGATAAATTAGTGATCACACTCAAATTTTAAAGGCAATGACTGTCCACAAGCTTCTGCAGGGAATGTTAGGTTCTTGATATTACTTGTCTTTTTTGAAGCCATCTTGTGCTTTTGTCAGATCAGTTTTTTGGTTCTTGGGGCTAGAAGAGCAAAAGCTTTGTGCTTCTGTGTCCGTGACAAACTGAAGATGAACCTAGATAAACTGAAGTATGTTTTAGTATTAAATCTTGAAGAGTCAGTGGAGGAGGAATTTTGAGTGGAGGTGGAATCTCGGGTGCATTAAATCCTCCAGTTCAGTAAAGTACCTGAGGACATGGTGTTGATAGATAAATGATTCAGGGAACGCATGTTAGAAGTACAGGTAAGAAATGACAAAGGTGGGTTTATCTCTAATGAGGGGTGAGCTGGCACATCTAGGGAAAGCAATCTCAAGGCCAGATGTTTGATAAGAGATTTTCCTATTTGAAAAACACGCTACTTAGAGCTGACATGGGGAGCTTTCTTACTGCACAGGAGTTGGTGACGTGAGTCAGTAAGGCCGTGCATTCACTACAAAGTGTGGACAAAAGGGCTGAGCGTCTCTGCTTCCCTAAATACAGAGGGCAGATCTAGAACACAGTGTCTGTTTCCAGATGCTCCTTGTCAAGCCCAGAACAGCTCAAAGTGCAGTGCAATTTCCAGATTTTAGTTGCTACAATTCCTGTCAGACTATTGCTGCAGTCCGACCGCAGACTACTGCTGCACTGGCTGCTGTGTCCTCCTCTTCGTAGAATAGTCTAGATGCTTGTCTTTTAAAATTGAAAATGGCATTTACAGTTTCAGTAATTAATTGTCCCAAAGGACAGAGCATTCCTGTTGGACTGAAGCACTCATCTGAATGTAGTCTGTCTTTTCACATGGTCGTTTTCTTGGATGGGCGTCATCCCCTTGCATTGTCCTCTTGCTTTCTTTTCCTGCATACACATTTCTAATGTTAAAAGGGGTTCAGTATTTGCTATAGGAATATAAAGATAGAAGCTTCTTTCCAGTCTGCATGTGCTGTTTTCATGGGTGTATGCATGTTGGTTTTGTATGCCTTGTCTGTAGCTACACTCCAACTACAGCTCAACTAAGCAGAGCAATTCCCAGGGCTGCTCTTCAGTCCTAAGGCCACTGGACCACATCCATGCTACAGGACTAGCCTTGAAAAGTGTGTAGCTGTATCCAAACTCCTTGCTTGTGGTTTCTGGTCTATGCAAAGTCCTGTATAATGCCTGTGAATTGGTCAGGACTGCAGTAGCTGTGTTGGAGCAAAATTGCAAAAACAGAGCAATATAATGATCTCGTAGATAACTGTGTGGGTACTGAGTGCTTCTCCCTTGGCACTGTTCATTGTTACAAGTATTGATAGAGCTATGTGCTTTGACTTGAGGATACACCTTATCTATTTCCTTGCCTAGTCAGATCTGTGTTGTGAGATGTTTCAAGTTTGGATAGATTTTATCACCATACCCCCAAAACCTACTGGGTTTGTTTAGGTTTCTGTGATGCGTGTACCTGAAGGAAATCCCTGCAAAGCCTGCTGTAATCCCAAAGGCTGTTATTCCTCCTTTGGTTTTCATAGGGTTTTTGTAATTCTTGCCTGACTTTTCATCTGCTCTTGTTTGTAGGGATTCTACAGTTAGCTCTGCCACATGTCATGGAGTTTGAATGATTTTTTTACCATGTTGTCCTGCAGGAATTATAAAAACCCTTGACTCTTTGAGAAGATCCACGATAAGGTTCGAAAATACCCTGATCTCTTTCCCAAGTTCTCTCTGCCCTCCATCTGCTGTCCCTTCTCAAGATCCTGAGTTCTGAAGGAGTGATCTTGTCATTTGTATGCCGTTTGGCTCTGCTGTAAGCAGACTTAGGAAGGAAAAGCAATTAGGGGAAGCTCACTGTGCTTTTACCAGTTCTATTTCTTGTCTTTGCAGCAAATTCATAGGACAGTCATTGTTCTGATACCTTTGGAAGTTTAGTAGTAAAAAAAAGCTTTTGATGAGCCACCATGTGTATGGAGTTGCACCAGAAGCCTGTCTTTGGAGGGAAGAAAGCAGCAGAAGTTTCTTTAAATGAAAGCTTGTAGTAATTGGATGTGCTGCACTTTCCTTCTTAGGGCAGGCAATCTGTGACAACATTCCAGGTTCAAAAGTTGGTAACTTCAGAAATCAGACTTCAGTCAAATCAGCTTTGGTTCCACAGGCCACTAGAATTTCCGCTAGGTATGTTTTTATCTTCTGTTTTCAAGGCAGCAACAAAAAGTTAGGGCAACTTGAACCCTTTGTACTGCAGATTCGAAAGAGCTGTGTTTCATAAATCTCATGTCATAACTGGTTAAAAGTTCTCCACAAAAACTCTACCTCTGGCCTTGAATGAACTGGTCAGTTTGGGAATCTGGAGTTTCTGTTTGGAGGATAGTTGGCAGTGAGGAAAATTTGGTGTGAACTACTGAACAGCCATCCTCCCTCTGTTACAGAGGTTTATCAGGAACAAAAGAGTAGTAACTGCTGGTTCATTTTAGAAGCAGTGAAAGAAGGAGAGAGAAATGCTTTCTGAAAAGTTTTCAGGTGAGCCTTTCTGCCAAGTAGCAAGAGTACTGTTCATGAGAGGCAAAATGCTGAACTTGATTGGAGGTGGACTGTTGGGTTGCCATCTCCGTCATAAGTGTGGTTAAAGTGTCGGACTACAATTGGTCTTTTCTCCTGCAAGGTATTTTCCATGTATCACAGAGAAGTGTTGAACTGAAGTATTTGCTTTTCCATCTCACCTTGTTTTCAGCCTGCTGGAAACCATGTCTCACTACACAGACGAACCAAGATTTACCATAGAGCAGATAGACTTGCTTCAGCGCCTGAGACGTACGGGAATGACCAGACATGAAATCCTCCATGCGCTGGAAACCTTGGATCGTCTTGATCAAGAGCATAGTGACAAATTTGGAAGAAGATCTAGCTACGGAGGTGGTTCCTACAGCAACAGCACCAACAACGTCCCAGCATCTTCCTCGACAGCCACGGCTTCAACACAGACCCAGCATTCTGGGATGTCCCCATCCCCAAGCAACAGTTATGACACCTCCCCACAGCCTTGCACTACTAATCAGAATGGGAGGGAGAGTAACGAGAGGTTGTCTGCATTCAATGGGAAGATGTCACCCACCCGTTACCCGCTAGCAAACAGCTTGGCTCAAAGGTCCTACAGTTTTGAAGCTTCCGAAGAAGACTTGGACATCGATGACAAAGTAGAGGAACTGATGAGGTCAGTAGAAGTCTTTGTAGGTTTGGAAAGTCAGGGTGAAAAGTCCTTCAGCATGCAGATTCCTCCTGTGGGACTACCTTGGTAGTGACAGGTGTTACCAAGAAAGCAGGAGTTGCTTTATTGACAAGACAGCTATTCCCCTGCTAGTTTCTTGGTGGTCAGTATCTCAGTACCTCTCTCCTGACTCTCAGTCATGTGTAGACAATCCCATGTGCAGATATACCAGAGGCTGTTTTACTGCTGAAACACTTTTTTCCATGCTGTACCAAAGACTGAAATTCATGCTTATTCACCGAATTTCCACCCTACTCTTATTTAGAAGATTTCTGACTGAGTCTCAGTTCACGTGAGTCTTCTTCCACTAATGTGTACCAGTTGAGTTTCCTTCCATATATAGGCAGAGTAGGGAAGCTGCTTGGTTAATGCTTTCCGTGGTGATCTGCAGTGCATGTATGTTATCTGTTTATAGTTTGTGGCAGGGGCTGACTCCCTCTTGGATTTGCACAGTCTGCAGATTGGTGCAGGAAAACAAAACAACAAAAAAAAGAAACAGAAGTCTTTAATGAGGGCTAGTTGTTTGTTGTTCTTGTTTTTATTTCATTTTGTTGTGTCTTTGTTTTCTAGATTGACCTTCCTTTACTTTTAGCTGCTTCCTTTTCAGCGTTATGGCAAAGATTAAAAGAGGGGATTATTCCGCTCAAGATGAAAGACTGAGTCAGTGGGCTTGACAGCAAATGACAACAAAAAGAAATACAGGGAAAGGGCAAAAAATCTCAAAACTATTTTAGTTACAATGTTGGAATGTTTTTTTTCCTTGAAGCTGCAACAAATCAGAAGTACCTATGGGAGGGAGAACTAGGATCCATAATCTCCAGAATGGAAATAAGTTTGGAGATTTAGGGTAGAAGTGCGGCTGGAGAATATTAGAGATGAGCAGTAGGAAAAGCCAATCAGCCTCGTTTACTGTCAGCTGCAGGGTAATGGAATAATGCAGGAAGGTGGTGAATATAGCAGTATGCAGGAGTTGCCATGGCTGAAGTTTTAACCATTCCTTGGAGTTTTTGGTTCCTATGAGTCTCAAGTAAACTGAAGCTACGTTTATTTTCCAGCATATGGAAGGTAATTGAATATGGAAGTAAAAATGAACGCACAACGTGGCATTTATTTTCCATTTTGAAGGACTGTCTGCCTTGAGAGCTGCTGAGGCAGGACAGGAGAAGGGGAAGAGAGATTACTAAATAATAAGGCCTAATAAAGATTGGTTTTACTTCTCTGCACCTTTCAGGGAAGAGAGGAGGAAAAAGAAGAAAAAATGTATTTTCAGTAGTTGAAATTTGCTGTGTATCCCAATCCTTAGGTAACCCCCAAATTATTGACCTTTTAAGCACAGTGCCTACTGAATTATCTTAGTATACCTTAGTACCCATAGCAGGGGGGGTTGGAGCCTGATAATCTTTAAGATCCCTTCCAACCTAAGCCATTCTATGATAGTACCTTTTAAAAATCATACAAAGCAATGATGCTTTTCATTCAGTGCAAGCCATGGGCTAGGGAAGTAACAGCGGAGGGGTGGAGGTTGCAAAATCTTTTTTCCTTTGGATCTTTCCCTTGAATAGCTGCAGGACGTTTGTGTGCATGTGTTCAGTTGTGCAGCTAACCGCGCACACCCTGCTATCCTTTATTTTTTATTTTTGTGCCTTATTTTTATGACGGAGGATTTTATGCTGGTATGAGAGATTTATTCATCCCTGTGTAATGAAACTTTGCACATTCCATATGGCAGCCCTGCACCTAATATGAATTATATAGGACGTGAGCCATCCATTCTCCTGCTAGGGTACTTTGATCAAACGTGACACTAGTTAAAAGAAGTGTCCACCGGTGAGGCACTTTGACTGTTTTAATGCCTGCCTTCCCCGCTCCTTGTCCCCTAAATAAAGAAAATGAAGCCATTTTCCATCTTCAAAGTGCACTTTGGTCTGCCTGTCTGGGTTTTTTTTCTCTTTTTTTGTGCTCTTGTTTTTTGTTTTGGTAGGAGGGACAGCAGTGTGATAAAGGAGGAAATCAAAGCCTTCCTAGCCAATCGGAGGATTTCCCAAGCAGTTGTTGCACAGGTGACAGGTAAGAGCTGGGGGAGTCCTTTCTTCATTTTGGGAAACCGTGTCCAACTGCCTTATGTGTGCATGGTGCAGATGTTGGAATATTGCTTGGCTTTCTGCATTGCAGTGCAGATCTGTCAGCTTAGTCATGATAATGTATGCCTTTGATTTAAGGCCCATTGTCCCGCACATCATGGAACTTCCCCAGTGAATCACTTGTTCTTTTTTTCCTTTTTTCTTGTGGCTTGTGCTAGCAGATTTTATTTTACAGCATTATAATAAGCCCAAAGTTTTTATCTTTAAAATGAAACCATTTTCCTTAATTCCTAAATTGTTTGTTGAATGTAGTAAATAGATACATATCTGCATCTCTGTGTATAGAGATATGAATAATACATATTTGTATTATAAAATGCATATGAGAAATCTGGAGACACAGCTATAACTGATATCACTCCATCCAGCATTCGTTTTGTGATAGTTTTGAAGTTTTTCAATTGCTTGTCTCCACAAACAGTGAAAGTGAGTTGTGAGATCGAGGGATGACTATTTTAGCTTAGATTTTACTAGAAGGAGTAGTAGGGTGTTCTGGGCTTTTTTGGTCTGTTTTAACCCCTTACCTTTTACATTCTCTCTTTTGCGTTCAGGACAAGTAAGCATTGATACCACTTATTCTATTTGTGTGTTATCAGTTCTACTTCAAAAATAAACAGATCAATCCCGTATTGTATCTGTCACATCTATTCATTTTTAAAACCAAGCTGGATTAAAGATGTTGGAATGGATCCTTTCTAAGGTTCCTTGCTGACTAGGAATGCCAAACCAACAGGAGGGAAGTTGTTCTTTTATGGTATTTCCAGCGTTTGAAATGTCATGAGGACCCATCTGCCTGGGAGATCTGGGTTTGCAGACACTGTGTGTGCTAGCAGTTGAGGTAGGCAGGCAGAAATGGGTACTGGAGCCATGGAGCCAGGAATTCCTTCCACATCTGTGATCTTGGGCAAATTACTTGTACAAAATTAACATGTTGTACCACTCTAAGGAATGTTACTAGCCTTACCAGATGTTAGCATTAGTAATGCTAAGTCTTCTTAGTTGAATTGGACCTGAACTGTGGGCAGTTTGTGGGTCGGTCCGATACCTCTGTGAAGTTCTTGCCTGAATATGGCCTTGGAATGGCTTATTTCTATATTAACCTCCTGTATAGTTTATTATGAGGGCAAGCAACAGAAAAATTCCTGACTCCAGAACAGAGCCTCTGAGCCTGAGTAAGTCAAACTTACCCTCCTTCTTCAATAGAGGTGTTTTAAAGAGGAAAAAAAAAATGCGGCAGGATAATATTTCCAAAAGAAAGCAGCACTTTTTTTTGTCAGTTAGACTATTGCATGCAGTTAAAGAAGAATTTCCATGCCAGATCTAAGGTAGTCTGTATCACTAAAAAGAACTGATCTGTTTGCCTACATCTCGGTGCATATCTCAGTACCCAGGCAGGCTGTAGCAAAGTCAAGATGGATCTCTTCACTCCTGGTCACGCTGATCCTTCCATCCTCATCCTGCACTCTTTGCTATTGCTCGATGTCTTGTCCTGCCAGACAGAACAGAGATTGACCTAACGGCACTGTCGTCTTGTTTTCACATGAAATCAATGGCACCCCAGGTAGCTCTAAAGGCTGAACGGCTATATTTTTTTGCAGCTGACCAATGGACCTTTCAAATAAGAAAATAAAGTGATATTTTGAACTTGATGCACTTTTCTTAAGCAAAGATAGCTGTAAGGCCTGTGCTGTGTTACGACGCACGGACCTTCCTCCTGCTGCCCTTTGCAGCTGAGCAGTGTTCTCTTCCTGGTCTTACTAGGAAGGTCATTAGGAGCTGGTTCATTTTAAAAGTAACCCTTAGCCTTGTGTATGCAGATGTGTAGCACTTACGTGCCGCTATTAAGTACTTAGTTATGGCTTATCTGAAAGGAATAGTCTCAAGGAGATTGAAGGGACTGGATTAAAGTGTGTACTCAGCACTAACGGGGGAAACATCAGCTTCCTTTCAAAGGCACGTAACAGTGAAGGGTGGCTGAAAATATCTCAGGACAGAGACCCAGAATGGAAAGCATGTGTCCCAGGGCTCTCATTTCCAGACTGGTCTTAGACCTGGTGAATGCTAGTTGACTTTTGTGTTCTTCGGATGTATCCATCTTCCTTCCCCAGTTCAGCTGTGATGCAGTCTCCCAAAGAAGGTTTGGAAACCCCTTTTGGTTCTTCAGAAAAGGAATTTGGGCAGGCTAGCATGATGCTTTGCAGAATGTATGGTCCCAAATATTAGGACCATATCCATACATGTGGTCCCATCTCAGTGTTTACAGACTTAGTCTTACTGGTAAAGCTGGTTTGCTAATTATTTAGTAAATAAGAGAAAACTAGATAAATAAAATTCAAAGAGTGGCCACTAACAGATGACATAGGGAAGGACTCTAGGAAGTGATACCTCTTCAGAATGCTGCTCAGTCTGGGTGATTGGACTCCTTTCCAGCCCCAGGCATCATTCATCACCATTCATTTAAATACAAACATAGCTGCAATTCAGATGTTGGCTGTATTTGACTTCCCCAGCCGCTACCACCCTCCATCAGCTGGAAATCATTTGTTTGGCACTTGAAATAAATGCAGAATGCTACGGCCTCAGCTTTTATCATTCATCACTTCTGCCTTGGGAAGAAAGGCAAGAAACAAATGAAATGAAAAATCCATGGCTGGCTCTGTCCAGGAGGAGCTGTTTGACCCAGCTGCCTGTGCTGTGGTCTTACTCCCTTCAGTCTCTACCTATTCCTATGCTATTTTAAAAATTCTGCTTATTTGTGTAATGGGAGGGGAGAAAGAAAAGAGTAACTGTTCAGTGGCATTAGACCTCAAGCTAGGAAACTGAAATCTTACTTTTTCTTACTTCTTACTGGGTATGATATTGTCTTAACTGGACACGTAAGTGATAAGCATTTGTTAAAACAATGTATTTGTATATCTTTGAATTGCAGGTCATGAAGTAGAGCTGCTGAATTGCTTACCCTGTGCTTACAATCCTGTTTGTCCCCATTCTATCTTGTCATCTTTCTATTCTTGGAGCAGGAACCTCCAATGCAACTTCTGCAATTTCAGACTTCACTTTTGACTGATTTTGTGAATTCTTGAAAAAAACCTTTCTTTTTCTCATCTCAATTCAAGTATTGCAGTGCACATAAAGGTTATGCATTCCTATATCAACCACAGTCTTACTACTGAGGGCTGCTACTGAGCAGGCTTTCAATTGCAGCCAATGCAGTGGTAAACTGCTGCTCCTTTTGTTTTTCTTGTGCTGCACTGAGAGGGGGTGGGAAGTGAGGGAGGCCAAGGATTTGTAAGAGGGAGACGCAGAGCTGAAGGTTAAAGTCAGCTGTTGCAGTAGAACAATTTTTTAGGCTCTCTTAGTCTTTATAAAATTACCAGAAACTTCTCAAGTCATTTAGATAATGAATCTGACAAGGAAAATTAAACCTGGAAGACATTCTACAGGGCTGCCTTGTGTACTGAGAAAAGAGAGCAGATCGGAAAATAGTAACATCAGGATATTAAATGGTGACTTGGAAATAAAGAAATGATTGATAAGAAGCAAAAACTTAGCATAACACTTATTAGTGCTGGTCCTAAATACAGGAGCTGCTTTTTATAGAAACTTTTTTAATGGTGTCTGTAATAAGATAAACAAGAAGCACTTGGGTTGGGCTCTGTATAAATAATCTCCTACCGATAAGAAAAATGACAGTATAAACAGGAGCTAATAATAGTTCCTGCTGAATTTCCTATCTTGTTTTTTGAAGCTCCTTTTAACATAGCTGCAGCTCACTTGGGGTAGGGATTTAGCCCTACATGTGGCAGGTGAGGTGCCAGCTTTTTACAAACAGTAATTTGAAGTCATGTAGTGCAATTTGTTTTAGTTATCACCAGAACGGTTTGTGGGCACAAAGTAGGAAGTCAAACGCTTGTTTGGAGATGCTGTCCCTTGATGTGTTCTCCAAATGTAGGTGGAGAATGGGGGAGATGTGTTCAGAAACTGACACCTTTCTGTTGCAAAGGACAGAGGGAGGAGTACTCATAGATGGGCCCTTTGCAGCCAACCCAAATGCTTTGATGGATGATGCCTTTGCAAGCTTTGGAAGTGTTGACTTTTCCATTTTTTTACACATAGAGAGGAATGAAGGAACAGAAATCTGTACTTTCCTGAGGTCACAGTGGAAGCAGTCAGTGGTAGAGCAGGAATTTGAATTCACAGTTCTCAGTCCTTAGATTGGTGCCACAAAAACCAAGCCATCACGTGTGAAAAATAATAATAAATAATGATAAATGCAGAGGTCAGGTGTTTTTTTTGTTGTTTGTTTTTTTGAAAAACGTACCACAAATAGAGCTTTCCAGTGCGTGGTTCTGCTGACCTTCCTGATTATTCTGTGTGTATGATTCAGCCTTGTCCTTCTGTCTCTGTCTTAATTGATGTGAGATCCCCAGGACTCCGCTTTGTGTTGTGCTAAATCCGCAGAGCACCTAATGCAGTGGAGAACAGCCTCTGACATCTCCTAATGCTTGGAACTTACGCTCAGGGGTGCCAAGCAAATCACAAATACAGACCAAATGTGATTGAACTAGTTCAGTGTGAAGAAAACTCAGAAAATTACTGATCATCGGAGGCGAAACTAGCATTTTCTCCTGAAAACTCATGGAAAGATTTGTTTTTTTAATGGTTTTGATCTTTGCAGATTCTCTGCAAAGAAGCATTGGCTAATCTCTTCAATTGGTACACGTCCTTTGCAAGCATGTGCTATATGAATGTAGGATTTTGCTCTCAAACAGGAGAATTAAGACGCTGCCAGTTATTGCCTCTCCAAATCTGATGTATTCCAGGTGCTTCTAAAAATCTCTCCTGAAAGAAACATTAAAGAAATGCAAAGTAGAGTCACTGAACAAATCGGTACGTGAAGGTGAAAAACAGTTACTTAAAGACTTAATGAATAGCAGTTGTGAGGGTTACTGGTGGATTTGTACCGCAGGTATCAATTGCCTTCTCTGAATGACACATTTAGACATTCCTTTTAATTATATGTAAGGAAAAAATCTTTCATGTATGATTTGTTTAGGAGATAACGGGCATGCCCAGAGGAGCAAGCTTGTACTGTCATCTCCATTTAGTTTATACTTATGAATTGTAACCTGCTGTGGGAAGGAGTGATGTGTGACGCAAGAGATCATCATTTGATTTGCTGTAATCCTTTGTGATTACCAGTCTTCCTTTACTCTTTGCAGTGAGTGAGCTAGTTGTGCTCTTTACAGAGTGTTCTTGTCCCTGCTGATCCTGAGCCCAGAGGATGTCAGTCTTCGTTGAGGTCCATGTTTCACTTTGAGGGTGAATTTCCTCCAGACAGCTGGATTTTCAGTACTCCAGAGATCTTCTTTCATTAATCTGCTTCTGGCAGCAGGATGATTTCTTTTTTCCTGCCAGTGCAATTTCCTAAAGTAGCGTGATTACAGCCTATGTGACAGGATGGCGCTGGTGGTGGTACTAGTCACTGTCCTATGAGTCAACTGTGCAAAATCTATTTGAGATGCAAGAAATTCTAATGTGACTTCTTTTAATTGAAAGGGGTGAAGGATGGGTTTGTGATTAAAACACTGTGCTAAGATCTAGGAGACAATCTGGATCAGTTCTTCTGTTATCGACTTTGCGTGTGACCTTGAATTGGCATGTATGATTCTGGAGCCTCTAAACTGAACTGATGAATACATGGAAAATAGATCAGAATCACAGAACGGCTCGGGTTGGAAGGGAGACCTCAAGGATCGTGGATCTCCAACCCCTACACCACAGGCAGGGCCACCAACCTCCACATCTACTACTAGACCAGACTGTCCAGGGCCCCATCCAACCTGGCCTTGAACACCTCCAGGAACGGGGTCTTACATATAATACTTATATACATATATGTGGCAGCCCACAGTTTGGATGGGTGTACGCTCTGCTGGGTGAAATGCTGTCTGGATGGCCGGGCCCAAAGAATTGTCGTCAATGGAGTTAAATCCAATGGTGGCTGGCCATGAACAGGGTCCCCCAGGGCTCGGTACTGGGGCTGCTTCTATTTGACATCTTTATTATTGATCTTGATGAGGGATTGAGAGCACCCTCAGTAAGTTTGCAGATGACACCAAGTTGGGAGGGAGTGTTGATCTGCCTGAGGGGAGAAGGGCACTATAGAGGGACCTGGATGGGCTAGATTGATTGGGCCAAGGTTAACTGCATGAGTTTCAGTAGGGCCAAGTGCCGGGTCCTGCATTTTGGTCACAACGACTCCAGGCAACCCTACAGGCTTGGGGAGGAGTGGCTGGAAAGCTGCCTGATGGAAGGGGACCTTGGTGTGCAGATGGGCAGTCGGCTGAGTAGGAGCCAGCAGTGTGCCCAGTGGCCAAGAAGGCCAATGGCATCCTGGCTTGGAGCAGGAATGGAGTGGTGAGCAGGACTGGGGAAGTGATCCTGCCCTGTACTCAGCACTGGCGAGGCCTCACCTCGAGTGCTGTGTTCAGTTTTGGGCACTCAGGACAGAAAGGACACTGAGGTGCTGGAGCAGGTCCAAAGAGGGGCAACAAGGCTGGTGAAGGGCTTGGAGAATATGGCCTGTGAGGAGGGACTGAAGGAAGTGGGGCTGTTCAGTCTGGGGAAAAGGAGGCTGAGGGGAGGCATTACTGCTCTCTTTCAATACCTGAAAGGTGCTTACAGCAGAGCGGGGCTGGTCTCTTCTCACTGGTGACAGGTGACAGGCCGAGGGGAATGGCCTCAAGTTGTGCCAGGGTAAGTTTAGGCTGGATATCAGCAAACACTTCTTTACAGAAAGGGTTGTGAAGCACTGCAATGGGCTGCCCAGGGAGGTGGTTGAGTCAGCATCCCTGGATGTGTTTAAAATCCGTTTGGATGTGGTGCTCAGGGACGTGATTTAGAGGAGGGCTGTTAGATTTAGGTAGGATGGTTAGGTTGTGGTTAAACTCAATGATCTTTAAGGACTTTTCCAACTTGAGTGATTCTATGGTTCTAGGAGTGCTGTAGGTAGAGGGAACCTTTAAGGAGTTCAGCTTTTATTCTGTCTCTGAAAAAGGGAAAGAGAATAAATAAATAAAACCAGAAAAGACTGATAGAAAATGGGGTGTGAAGTGACTTGGAGTGGTCTGCATTCCTATGAACAGAAGTAAGATCTGCTGCCTAAGCCACACTTCATGCACATGATCTGGGTTTGCAGCATCGCTATAGAAGTCTCCTGGCCAAAGAACAAAATTGGCTATGAGCTTTTCACTAATGCAAGAAATGCTATGGACTGCAGTGCCATCAGTGAGATACCATTGTCAATAATGTATTGAGAATTTATAGTGCAGGCTTTGAATTCGTACATCTCAATGTCCTGTACAAAGCCCTTTTTACGGAAATGACTTTATGAGAGAACTCACAAGGAGTCAAATGTGTGCACAGCCGTGCACAGCTTGAATCGTTTGGCTCCTGCTCCTTTGCTTTGCCTGAGGTGGCTCATATCTGTACCACCTCATGGCAGTGTCACGGAACCTCTGGGGCAGAATTTGGATTTTTCATTGCTCTTATTGAAGATAATCTCAATTTATAATTTTTATCTTATGCCTTATGTTGTTTTGCAAACATCCAACAGACACTGATTCATTGCAATAAGTGTAAGTGGACTGTGGTAAACAAGGAAATTAATGGCGCTTCAACCCATTGATTAATAGGAGCCATGCATCCAGAAGCAGTGAGACACAACCATTTGTGCCCTACAGCACTGTGTTAAGGAAATGGCTTTTATAAATCATAACAGAAAATGGAAAGCTGCAAATTTTCAAAACTTGGTCCCTTACATGACAGTCAGGCATCTAGATTTCGTTTTGGGCCAGAGAACTTTACAACTGATACTAATTTATTTTGTTGTATTGGCATATGTGTTTCCATAGCTAATTGCTAGAATATTAGTTTGTGTTAGGTTGAGCAGTTCCACTTCTGTGCTAGTATAAACTCAGTTATATACCTGACATGTGCTCTGGGGATGATCAGCTTTTGACCTTGCCAGTTGTTTCAGAGCTCTTTCAGACACGGGACATGGACTCGGGTGTTAAGATCATCAGTAGATGTACAGGAAACCAAACCAAACCACAGAGTTCTGTTGAATGGCAGTAAGCTTCTGTACTCAAAACAAAACAAACCTATCCCTTTTCCACAGGGCAATTTAAATTCCACAGGCTCAGGGCTTCAGTCTAATAAAGAATGGTTGAGAGAGTAAGCCCTGAGATTTTGAAAAACTGATTGGACTAAATGTGCTCGAATACAACACCTACGATCTGAGTTAAATCATTCTGAAGTCGGCTCAATTCCACGTTCAGTACAAAGGAAGCATAATAAAAACCCCTTATTAGAAGTGATAAAACTGCAGGGGGTTGTTTTCATGAGTTAAATATGAGATCTTCTAAAACCTGCATGCATCTCATGGGGGGAGAGGTGGTTGGATTTCTGTGTGAAAGCCAGCTTTCTACCTGCCTGAGCATTATCACCAAGCAGGTGTTGCACAGGTGGAGTGCAGCAGTGTGCTGTGACTTGGAGCACCTCCTGAAAGCTGAATTCCTGGGACAGTCTCTGTGCTGTTAATCCTTCCTGACAGCCGGAGAGCACAAGGAATCCTACCAGCAGTTACTGCCGCAGTCCTTCACCAAGTTGGTTTTGTTATTTTTAGTTCCCCTCCTACTGCACCGTTAAACCTCTTCCTCCCAATGACTGCTTTTCCCTTTCTGTGTTGATCCTTCATTCAGTGTCACGCTTTGGAAATAACAGTATCAATTTCCAGGGTTTTTTTTTTTTGCCTTTTACTATTTTCTTAGAAGTCTTTCTGTCCCTAATCCTTCCTGGGTATGTAGGGCCTGAGTCCTGCTTTGCTTTGCTGACAGGCAGCTGCTCTTTCTGTTTTGTTTCCTTGCTGTTGTTATAGCAGCTGATAGCTGGCTTGCTGCATTTCTGGGGTGATTTGATCTATATCACATAAAGTGTTTCTGTGTTTATCTCCCTTTTTATTCAAGCCTTGAATGATAATGATCTCCAAAGTATCATCTCCTATATATGATGGTGGGTAAGGGACTTGTTCCTGTTTCACAGATGGAGAAATTTAAGAACCGAGGAAGCTGTGGTTTGGAATGGGACAATTCAGAAAGTAGTAGATTTGGCTTCCCAGTGTGTGCTCTTCTTGCTTTGTAGACCGACTGTGCTGATCCCAGGATGTATCTTGAGTAAGGCTGCAAAAAACAAGAAGGTAAAGCAGCTAGGGATAGGGGAGGAAGCTTGAACTCCCTCTGTTTTCTGTGGTTGAAATATTAGCAGCAAATTTCCAGGCTTTGTAAGACAACACCTTTTATTAGTATATAAACCGGTTTAAATATTTTAAAAGAACAAGTTTTCTGTTCTTCTTTCTCTCTTTTTTTGTTTTCTACAGGTATCAGTCAGAGCCGGATCTCACATTGGCTTTTGCAACAGGGGTCAGACTTGAGTGAACAAAAGAAAAGGGCATTTTACAGATGGTACCAGCTTGAGAAGACAAATCCTGGTAAACGCATCTAGCCTAAACATCTCCTACCATTTGATGTATGAAAAAAGCCTTTTGTCACTGGTTTGGATTATCACTGGTTATTCACTTGGTGGTATACTGATGAGGTATTTCCTCTGACTGGTTTCTTAGGAATTGGTCTGTGTTTTGTTTGCAGCAACAGATGTAGGACCGACTCACCCATAGCGGCCTGTCCAGCTTCCTGGTTGTGGTTGCTTGCCCTGTCCTCCCATCCCTGGCTAGCTCTGGGAATGAGAAGTGCACTCTGTAGTGTTATCATCAGACGACATAAAATAGGTGTTGAGGCTCTTCAAAGTGAACAAGGAGAAACCACTAATAGTGGCTGTAATATGAAGTTAGAGCAGATGTGTACATCTTAGCTGGGATAACTTCAGAGGTTTTGAGTTGTAGCTGAAGCTCACGGATGAGATGTGTGGATAGTTACAGTGATTAAATGGAGATGTCTCTCTCAAATTCCACCTCCTTCTTCAAATCTCGAAATAGATCTTTAATATATAATGAGAAATAAAGCTCTTCATTGTCTTTAACAAATAATCTTCAAAATCACAGTTGAATGCATTTCCTTGTGTTGTTTTTCTCTATAGATTTTGTTTGACTACAGTTTTTAGCTTCCCTTCAATAGTCTTATTGGAAAGAACAAAATATTTACGTTTAATTGCTTTTTTATTCATTTAATTTGGCAGGATTAAATTAACTGTGTAATTGTTTAAGAAATTTAAGATGTAGCCTCTCGAATATGAACTTGAACATCCAAAATTCTACTGAAAAGAATTTCAACGAAAACAGATTCTCATCACTTTTGCTTTGTGTGTAAGCTGTAAATCAGGAGGCCCTGGCTGTCAACTGACCTGAGAATATTTTAGCCTAAAGTTGGGTGAGATTGAAGCTGTTGTTGAGCCTGTCCTTTCTGTTAAGCATCTAAAAGCTGTTTTAAGGAATGAATGTGCCAAGGGCTTGAGGTTCTAACAGGCTGCAGGGATCCCTAAGTGGCCTTAGATTTTTCATAGTATTTGGAGTTGTGATACCCAGGGTCAGCAAAGGTATTGAATGCAGCCTTTTGCTACCAGCTTCTTTGGAAGCCTCATGTTGTACCATGTGAAGCAACTCTCAGCCACTTATTTCCCTTTTAGGGAACATATTACCTTCAAAATAGCAGAGAAAGCCATAGCTTTTTTGGAAGGTGCATTTAAACAGAAGAAAATAATGAAGAAATAAATGCCTCTAGCAGTGAAAACTATCGCATGGATTTTTCTGTCCTTGCATCTTTTCTTTCCAGTATCATTTGGAGCTGTTTAGGAAATAGTATTCTGGTATTCTGCACCAAAATAAGAGCTGTCAAACTTGGCTCTCATACTTCCTTCTCTCTTTTTATCCACAAGCTTACATCTTTTTGTCCTTTCAGGCTAGAGAAGTGTAGCTTAAATGTAATTGAATTGATGTTAGCTTCTGTGTTACTAATGCACAGTGTTGCCGAGTTCTTGTTCGCTTTTCTTTATACACACATGGGAAAATTTAAGAGTGGTTGTTTGCATTTTACCTTGTTTTCAAATAAGAGATCTTGTGCAGCATTTTCAAGAAGTGTAAAAGGCAGAATGCCTCCTCTGCCTATGCCAGGAGACTATTTGGCTGCATTTAAATTCCCTTCAGAACCAGATAACGTTTGTTTTATTTTTAGAGGTTGAGGTAAGGGGTGGGGAAGCTTAGTTTTCCTGTGGCTGTTGGAAAAGTCTGCTTGAGGAAAATGTGATTGTTTATTTTGGGATCATCCACTTATTTCTATTATTGCCATCTACTAGATTGCAGGTCAGGCTGGTCGGGCAAGAGATAATTACCATGCATATGTGCAAGTGTATACAGTTTATTAGGGAAGATAACCAACCTTGTCCGAAGCATCCTGGATTTAAATTGCTATTAATAGAACCAATTTGGAGCTGAAGTTTGGACGCTGATACAGTATCCTGTAATTCCCAGACCATTCAGCTGCTTTCATTAGAATCTGAAAAGGAGAAAATAATTGCCATATTTGTACAGAAGTGGTCACAGCAGTCCTACTCACTCTTGGCAAAAGAGTGCCCTCCTCTGATAAAAACTGAAGTCATTAAATGAGTGGCATGAACTTTTTTTCTATTTGTTGTCTTATGAAGAAGTGAAAATTGGCTTTCTGTTATCTCATTTTTTTAATGACTGCAGCTACTGAGAACAAAATCTTGGACCTTCTTCTTTGAGGCATAGATTTGGGTCCCTCTGCACGGGAGCACGTTTGTGTTTGAGTGGGCAAAGTGGGCAAAAGGAGGTCTTTGGAACGTTTGGTTTATCAGTTCTTTAATCCTTGTGTTTAACGCTGGGGGTCTCCAAACTAAGTTCATTTTCTGACTGAATTCATTAGTGTAGTAAAAGGAAGATAATTTTCACTTACAATTGAAACAGTTTTGAAGCACCCAGGGCACCCAATACAATCAGTTTGTGAACTGTAAAGAAAGAAAAGCTGCTTTCTGGGGGAAGGACTAGAGATCACTTGGCAGACTTGCAGTCTTTCCTTGGCTCTGCTAGTTTTCTGTACAACTTTTAGCAAGTGATTTTGCCTTTGCTCCTAAGTCCCACTTATCAGGTAAAGATGAGATTGTTCCCAAGGCATGAGTTGTTTGCCTTCCCTATAGTCCCTCACAAAAGGGACTGTCACGTACTTCACTCATATACTGCACCCAGCCAGGAATTTCAAAAAATACAAGAAACAGAAAATAACTTGTTAATGCATCATTTTCATTTTTCAAGTACGTGACAGTAGTACATAATGCTTTAAATCATCCACAGGTAGTCTTGCATCTGCTAACCTGAGAAATTTGTGTTGTGGAGCATCAGGGTGATTTTGAGACGTGGCTAGATGTTACTCCTGTACCGAAGACACTCAGTAATTCCATCACTTTTGTTACTTGGCAGTTTGCTTTGGACTCTAGAATATGCTGCCTGTTGTTTTCTTGCTTCTGATTGCCTGTTTGCATGGACAGTTACTGTACTTCTCCTGTCTTTGGTGGCAGTTCATAGAATCACGGGATATTTTGAGTTGGAAGGGATCCTTAAAAGTCATCTAGTCAAAATCTGCTGCAGTGAACAGGGACACCTATAGCTTGATCAGGATGTTAAGAGGATGGTCCATCCTGGCCTTGAATATCTCCAAGGACGGGGCCACCTCTCTTATTGTAAAAAGCTTCTTCCTTATATCCAGTCTAAATCCCACCTCTTTTAGTTTGAAGCAGTTTCCCCTTGTCCTATCACAACAAACCATGCTGAAGAGTCTGCCCCTTCGTTCTTATGAACCACCTTTAGATACAAGGCCACTCTCAGGTCTCCCTGAAGCCTTCTCTTGTCCAGACTGACAGCCCCAGCTCAACCTGTCCTCATGGGAGAGCTGTTCAGTCCCATCGTTTTTGTGGCCCTTCTCTGGATGCACTCCAGCAGGTCCATGTACTGAAGATTCCACAACTGAATGCAGTGCTCCAGGTGAGGCCTCACCAGCACAGAGCAGCTGCTGCCCATGCTGGCCACCCTTGTTAGGATGCAGCCCTGGTTGGTTTTCTGGGCTGCAAGGGCACATTGCTGGCTCATGTCCAGCTTGCCATCCACCAGTCCTTTTACACGGCTGTGCTCTATCCTTACGTCCCCCAGCTTGTACTGACAGTGGGAGTTGCTATGATCCAGGTGCAGAACCTTACACTTGGATTTATTGAACCTCATGAGGTTCACCTGGGCCCACTGCTCAGCTTGTCTAGATCTCTTTGCATGGCATCCCATCCCTTGGGCATGTTGACCGTACCACACAGCGTGCTGTCATCTGCAAACTTGCTGAGAGTGCACTCAATCCCACTGTTGAATATATTAAAGAGCATTGTTCAGGCAACAGCAGATACGAATGCTGTAAATGTTCAGAGATCACAAAAAAAACCTTTCTGCTGTAGGCAATAATCTTACTTAAAAACTTCTTGACTTCTTGATCAATGTTTTCCTGGTATGAGTAATGTCAAACTTAATAGCATAGCTGCAAACTCCAATGTATTAGTGAGTGTAATTTCTTCTGGAAGCAGTTGCCAATTAGGGTGAAAGGCAGTTTTTTGTTGAGGGGAAGAAGTCATTGCTAAATACTGGTGTTTGAAAGGACTTTAAACCAATTAATAGGGATACTTTCCATTTAGATATGGAGTTTTTTGGACAGGCACCACATCTCTTGTGTTTTGTAGAGGGCCACGAGCATTTTGGCAGCAGATAAATAATATATGTTTCAGAAGCTAGTGTATGAGTGCATTGAGTCCTGTAATGTTCTGATTATTTTTTTTAGAGCCCCTGGCTTTTAAATAAATAAATACTTCTTTTTATGCTGATAGTTAGCTTGATTAGTTTGGCTGGCACTGGGTCTTGAGCAATGTGGAAGGCTTGTTATGGAGCAACTTGAGCATTTCTTTTGCCTCTGTGCCCTGTAACCTGAAGCTGTCTCCTAGAAATAGTGTGTTGGAGTTGCAGATGGTTACAGACTGCCTCCAGTTAGCCTGCATGCTTTCTTTCAGCTAGTCCTCTGTAACAGGAAGGTAGCTGTGGTCATCTTGTGCTTTTCCTTCTTGAGCAAAAGGGAAAAAGAAAGGTAGTTATTACCAAGATGTAATCTCTCTTGTGTTACTCCCATAGCAGTTCTTCTTCAGCTATGTCTGAAAAACATATGAAAAGAAACTGAACAACCAAACACCCAACCGAAACAACAGAGGCTGGATATCCCATGGGATTCATACTCGAAATGCACTGTTGGTGATTTACTGTTTTACAGAGCTTCAGCAGTCCTGCTCTGATCCTTCCCAGCCAAGCAATGAGTCCTGTAAGGAACGTTTTGGTGTGCAGGCTGCTGATTCAAATCTAGTTTGGCTCAGGAGTAACTGGAAGGTGTTTATTATGTGCTCTCAGGTCAGTCTGGCTAAAAATGAAGCATGACATCTCTTCTTATCAGTGTAATATACAGTAGGTACTTGTTGCAGAGACTTGCTGGTAAATGGTTTCTTGGAGCTGGGAGATGCCCTGAGGCTGGCTCCAGCCATTCTGTGCATCACTCTTGTACTGCAGAGCCTCTGTGAGAGATGGGATGTGGATCAGCAATTGCATGTGATGCTTTTAAGAGCAGCTCTCTTCCTTCAGAGTAGTGTTTGGGACATGCAGAGAGAAGGAAGGCCTTTGCCATGAGAAGCTTTCAGTATAGAGGTAGCTCTGTGTTGCTGCAAGAAGTGCAAGTGGTGAGATGGCACTTTTCCTTTTTCTCCCTGAGAGGAGTTCTTCCCAGTTGATTCACCTCTACACCACTTACAGGTTCTTGCTTTTTGATGCATGTACCAAGACAGAAATTTCTTACATTTGCTCTGCTTGTTCTGCAGAAGAGAGAAGCTTCACTTCTTAGAAGCTGTTTGAGGAGCTTGTGAAAAGATTCTGAAATGGCAGCTGGGATGGAAAATAAGTTGCAAAGAAGTGAAGCTGGTCTGAGAGAAGATTGCAATGAAACTTTGGAAGAGCAGAATAAATGGGATCCCAAAGTGCTCACTTAATTGCAGGACATGAAACAAAGCTCAAGTTGTCTTACCAAATGCAGCAGCAGTGCTCGTATCCACCACTTTCACTCTGACAGATAAATCCCAGCACATCTTGTGCCTCTGCATGCATTCAGGTGCTTCTGTCTCTCTTCGTGTGCAAAAACAGGGGTTGTGTACTTGCTTGTAATGCACAGCATGCTTCTCCCATATCAGCAGCTGATATTGACGTTACCTTGTAGAAAAGAGAAATGGGTAAATTAATAGGTAAATTGATGGGAAGGCTACTGAAGAAACAAAAAAAAAGTAAATAAAAATTCAGTAAGTGAACATGGCAGCAGCAGGAGTAAACTCATGCTTTAAACCCTGATGTTTTTTTCAGCCTTTGTCTGCAAAATCTGATGTACAAAATCACTGATGTAATTGCTCTGCATCTCTTTCTGTTAGGCATCAGTGATATTTCCATATTCCCCCTTTTTCTTGAGAACATACAAATGAAATCCTTAGGTGGGGACAATACATTGCTAAGGCAGTGCAGGGAGAGCTAATTCCTTGTCCCATTCTCCCCAGACTCTTTTAAATGAATGAATAATATTTATATTTTAATTGTGGAGAAGTATTTAAAGCCCAGCAACCTGATACTGACCCAGACCTCAAATGGTGCAAGGATTAGAGAGTAGATAAGGAACTCTCCTTGCAATGGCCTCCACAAGAGTTGGCAACATAGGAAACATTTCATGTGTCAGTAAAATGAAGTAATTGGGAATTGGCAGGAATCACTGTCCTTGTACACACAGGGCAGGGGTGGTGGGGTTCACTTCCTGTAGGCTTCTCCTGGGAAAAGTCTGTGTTTGTGGGCTCTGCTCCCTGTGCCAGTAAGGAAAATAGGCATTGGGCATTTCTGCAAAGCAGCACAGCCAAATGCATAAATAGCTAATTCCTTGGTTTTTACTGTAGGAATTTGCTTATTGGAAAACTCTTAAGTTCCCTTAACCCCTTTAACTGTGTTATAGAATAATGAGAGGTGTTGTTTTACTAAAACTGTATGGTTCTGTGATAAAATCCTGACCGTTCTGAGCAATCCGAGCAAGACCCAGAGGCCTCTCCTGTCCCAGCCCTGCTTTTACATGCACAGAGTAGCACATTCCTCGTGTGAGCGATGCCACTTGCTACTCTTGGGGGGGAAAAAAAACACCAGGCTTTTAGAATGCATGAGATCCATTTGTGCTTAGGGTGCTTGTGGGATATGGGTGATGATTTAGCTTTTCATATGATTTATATATGTATTTTTTCCATGTAAGAGCAGCTCTTTCTTCATTCCCTCCAGGGGTAGCTGCTGAGCACAAGTCTCTCAGAGCATCCCCTGTTTCACATAGAAATGCCCCTAACCCAGGGCTGTATGAAAGATTGGTCTCTGTGTTTTGATTTATCTTGATTTATTAACTGAGAGGCTGTTGTGCAAGGATTCGGGTAAGTTTCAAAGGGCTTTTCCTAAAGGCACTGTGCCAGGTCTCATCTCTCTCTTGATGCTTTCCAGCTCAGGCTTCTTGAAAGGAGAAATATATCCATAGATGGGGGGCCGAAGTGGAAAGATGTGATACTAATCTGCTTTCAGTGACTTCTGCAGTCAGCCTGGCACTCAGGCGCCCATGTTTGCACAGGTCACTGCGTGTGCTTCTACCTGTGGAGCGATTTCAAGTGTTTCCTTGGCTCTTCAGCCACGTCAGAATATCTTGGGGGATAAACTTACACTGATTGCTGTACAGTTGATTATTATTTCCCATTTTGTGGCCGAAGTGGTAGCAGCACAGCCTAAATAAAGATCAGTTGTGGCACAGCTCCTCCCTTGTTTATGACACTTGATGAAGACAAGGCAGCATTTCCAGAGTGGCTTCAACAAAGGCAACAAGCTCAGTTATGTCATCCTTAGATTTCTGTGGGTACCTGGTACTTCTCTGGCTGGGAATGGGAACTCTAGCTGGCTTTGTATGTCCTCAAGGTGTCTTTTTTTGATGATGCTTTACTATTTAGTTTGAATGGTTTCATCATCTGTCTTGTCTTTTTTTCCACAAGCAGGAGTGAGGAAATGGGCATGATTTTTAGTCCACTAGGAAACGCAGTGTTTATTATCCCTAGGGGCTACGTTAAGCATGCGACCAGCTCCCATCCCAATAGAAGAGCCAGAATGGAGACAGACACCTCCCCCAGTCACAGCTACCTCTGGGACCTTCAGACTACGGCGAGGCAGTCGGTTCACATGGAGAAAGGAATGCCTGGCTGTTATGGAAAGGTATGTCATTTTGGGGCTCTGGAGAGGGGCACTTAAAGCCAACGCAAATATCCTTTTTTCCTGCTAGCTTCGTTTTCATGGGTGTACTTCAGAATGGCACACGCCAATAAGCGTTAATTGTAATTCCACATAATAGAGTAGTAGGAGCTATTTCAGCCCTTCTCTTGTTTTTGTTTTTGAAAAGTGCTGTACTCCTCTGGACACTATTATATTTTGTAGCTGCTAAGGAGTCTTTCCCATTGCTCACGGTGAGAGCATTGGTGTTCATTCAGTTCATGCTTTTCTTTTGCAGAAACCTTTCCATCCAATCTGGTCCTGCCTCTCTCGGTGGAGTTCTGCACACTCTTTATACTCTACATTTCTCCTTCCCACTTTCCTGGTTTAGTCTCGTAATGTTTCAAGTTATTTTACATTTGGTACTGGCATTTCAGCAGCACTGTAATTGTACAGGATGCAGAACTTTGCCTTAACAAGCAATAGATTTCCTATCCAAAAAGGCTCTTACAACCTTTTTACGTGAACTGGGAACAGTACAGAGCAAAGTGGATATTTCAAATACATATGCAGAGTGGTAGGTGATCATTAGAGCTCCCTACTCTTCACTCCTGCAGAGACGAAGCACTCTCTGAGCCAGGTCTCCTTGCTGCCTATGTGCTTTTCCCTTCCCTTTTCTTACAATAATCTCTCTTTTATGGGTAACATCGTATAATAATGAAGGTCTACTGAACTCAAACATAGTTTAGGGATGAATGTTGAATTCTGATAAAGGCTAAATGACTGGGAGGACTTTTCTTCTCTCCAGGAGCATAAAGAACCTCCTTTACATGAAAGCACTGGATGATGTTCTTTACACACTACATTCCACACTAGTTTGCAAATCCATTGAATCCTTGGCCGTTGGGTTTTTAGGACGTGCTTCTGCCATGTCTTTACTGCTGCTCCTTCCTCTTATTTGCAGGAGGGTCTTTGGAACTGATTAGAATCAGGAGGGTGTCTACATCTGCCTTACCTAATACCAAAATACTGAGCTGAACATCTGTGGGTGAGGCTGCAGGCCGTCACAGCAGCTTTGCAGGGCTGAGGCCAGTAACTGTTTCTGTAGTCTGTGCTGGCACTGTACTGCACAGCTTTGGCTGAATATTTCCCCTAAGAAAATAATGTAAATGTTTAAAATCTATTCTGCTTTGCTACACCCATCTAGTGTAATGTCCTGCTAGCAGAGGGGTTGGCATTTACCTGATGTGTCCCCCTCTGCAGTGTGGGAACAATGTTTGGTACTTCAAAATGCTTGTATGGCTGTCCTGATTGCCATGTGAAGGATTACAGAAATGTTACAGCTCTGTATACCTTTAAGGCCATGCCATCCTCTTGTTAACTTGTGTGTAAAATATTTGCTTGCTTTGAGGTGGAATTACAGCTATCTTGGCCGTGGGTGTTTTCCTGCCGACTATTATTTGCTGTTTGCATTATGATAGTGCTTTAGGCTCCCTTACACGAGGTGCTGTGGAATCAGAGCAGAAGGAGATGGTTAAGGAAGTTCTTTCCTCCTCCACTCCTCCTCTCCTAAATCCAGTCCCTGCTGTGACGCTGTCACTGAAGTCAGATGAGCTGCAGTGGTTTGATATACGTCTGTTAGAAAGGTTTCCTTTTGTATACTGAAGGAAGCAAGTCAGCACTGACATTGGAAATCATCAGGTACTGTATGCAGATATGTAATCACCTGATCTAATTTTGTATTACTCTTTCTTCTTTTAGCCACTCTTGGTTTTGTTCACTGCGTCTTATTTTGCTCTCTGTAAGGTCTCTTCTGCAGGGGTTTTATTGTTTTTTGGTTAATTAAATGGAGGCTTCTGCCATGTTTCCTTCATCCTGGCTTTAAAAATAATTTGCAAAACCCTTGCTGGGTCCCTACAAACACTGAATTTCACGATGTTATGTAGGGGTACTCGAAAGCATGGCCAAGAGTTTTTACCTAGAGGCAAGAATACAGTGAACTAACTGTGGTAAAAGCTTTGTATGGCAATAAAACAAAGACAAGTTTGGAATATGGTTGTTTAACTGCTAGATGCTCATGGGCTTAGCTGAGCTTAAAGATGTTTTATGTGACAAGTTTGAAATGATGGGAGAAAAACACTCACTTGGGAGCCCTATGAAGAGGCTGACTAACTTCACTTCCAAGTCACCAAAGTCCTCCAGGCTCTTCAGTAAGGTGACTCATAGCACCAGCCAGCATGAGGGTAACCAGATTCCAGCTGTCTCACCCAAGCAGATGAGGTTTGCTTGATGCCATAGGGTCAGGAATCGTCATTTGGCCCACAAACCAGTGTTTGGCATTGAGTGTGGACCGGGGCCATTCAGCTGGAATTTGCATTTTCCTCTCAAGGATTAAGTTTTGACTGTGAGCGAAGGCATCTTACTCACTTTAATGGGCCATATTCCTTAATTAAATGCATGTTTCATTATGCTGCATTTGTATGTCCTGCAGCATCTTAATGTGCTGTTGGTGCATGCAGGGATTTAGGCACCTCGTTTTGAGCTGCCTTTTTGGGTCTCTCTGTAAAGTGTTTGTTCACCTGGGCTTTCTGGCTAGTCAGCAATGAGAAGTAGGGATCCAGAAGGCAATTCCATCACACTGATGCAGCTCATGACGAGTCCTGCACCTTTCTCCTAGGTACAAGAGAGCAACAACACCTACTTCAGTGATTTATTTCAGTGCCTAATGATAAGAGGGCTGAATCTAGACATTAATGGGAACTCTTGTGTAGGCGATGCAAAGCTACTTTTTCTTGTACGCTTTTGAAATGTTGCTGTGAAGCAGCAAAACAGGCTTTGGTGAGGATCAAAGTCTTGGGCTGCTGTGTGAGTTAATTGTGGTATGTGCTATTGACTTAGAGTTGGTTGGGATGAAATGCGGTTGCTAAAAGTCAGTGTATCAAAGCTGAGAGCACTTCAAGGAAACAATCTGAATGTGATTGTAAAAATGACAAGTTCCCCAACCAAAAATGCACTGAACAAGTCAGGATTTGTCCCATGTACTGAATAAGAAAGGCGAGGACTTTTCAAAACGCAAATCCACAATAATTCCAACGCAATTAATTATATCATGTTGGCAGCAATATCATAATTAAGATTACAGTTAGGCCAGCACATATATTGAAGTATCTGATGTGCCTAAGTGTCTTTTTGTGGGGTATGTGTATTAAAGAAACTAATTGGTTTACACTGGATTTCCAGAATAGTGCTTGCGGTCTCTGTAATTCAATTCTCCAGTCTTTACTGCTCTTTTGGAAGTTCTCCCAGGGTAGTTTATTACTCGCTGGGCTTAGATTTCGGACAATAGATCCAGAAGGTCTTGTTCTCCCTCTCTCTGCTTTTTTTCTTCTTTTTTTCTCCCCAAATATTGCTCCGAATATTTATGTTCTGAAGGTGAAGAGGAGCAATAGTTCCAGAAAGTGAAGTTCTATATTTAACTTCAGACTAGGTGTGGTTCAGACAACTGCAGTGCAAGCTCCCTCTCACTGCTGCGCTAGTGATATCAACCTTGACCTGTTCTCTTCTTGAGCCTCCTACTCGTGAAATATGCTGAGTTTTGTGAGCGGTGATGTCGTGTGGCTTTACCCTCCTTTGGGAATAGAGCTAAGACTTCAGCAGTCCTTTCTGTTCAAACCTGAGGTTAAACTTGAAAGTCTGTTGCTGGTTCAGATTCGTGTTGTTCTGCATTACATCTTGTCCTAAAGATTTTCTTTTCCTCTGCTTTACCTCTTTTTCAACCCCTCTCATTAGAACTATGAAACTGAAAATCCCCTTAGGGTTTTTTTTCTTCTTCTAATGAAACTGTCATCTTGTCTGTCTTTTTTCTTTAAGTTATTTGTGCTTCTCTAATCGTATGTTGCAGCTGAAGTTTATCTTTTCTTTCAGGCAAATTGTTACTGAAGAATGATCTGAGATCAGCAGCAGGATCGATGGCAATACACCCATTTTGAGGCACTCTTGTTAAGTGCCACTAAAGCCTGATGGGAGGGAGGGCCTGAGTATTGTTGGCTTTTTTAAGTATATGCTTTATCCAAAAATTAAAATAACTATAGATTGTGCTCTAGACAACATGAATAATCCATTAGTTGAAGTATTTCAGTTTATCTAGAAAGGAGGGGCTTTTCTTTCTGGTTGAAGGTTATTTGGTTCGATTGCTTGTGTTCTTTTAATTGTAATACTTTACTTTGCTCTTGAAGCATCCTTTCGTAAAGATGTATTAAAATTAAAGGCAGCAGATGATACTGATACCTATTATCCCCATTGCATAAAAGGCAAAATGGAGTCAGGTGCTTCACTTGGCTTTGTGATCCGAGGCAGCTTTATTCATAAAAGAAATTAGTTTAGATTTCCTAAGATACTGAGGGTATGGTTTCATGATATAGCTGAGCTGAATTAACAGTTTGTCACCATCTCATCCTTTAGGTGTTATCCTGTCTCATCACCCTTCTCAATTCCTCCTCCTCCGTTTCCTTGCTCCTGCCATCCTGCATTGTGCCAGATGTGTTTCTGTCGGATGGAAATACCTGCCAATTCAACTTGGTTCAAAAAAAATAACAACAGTGTTTCCCCCTCCATTTTTGTGAATTGATTCAGCTTGCTGTGCAATGAGGGCATGCCAGAGCTGGTTCAGGGCAAATGACAGGTATGCATGACTGAGAGTGAAGGGAAGGGAAGGCTTACCAAAAGAAACCTTACAGATTTTCCATGATTCTGTTTGCATGTCAGTTTTGTCTTTTGGTTTGACTTAGATGAGCTCCTGCTCCGGCTGAAAGCACAGTTGTGCTGGCAGTTGCACTGGTGTTGTTAAAGCAGTGTCCTTGGATTTTTGCTGGCCATCCCCCTGAAGAAGCAACTTCTGCAGCGGTCCCAGCAAGCCGGCAGAGCCCTGTGCATGGTTCTGGCTCTGAGTGATATCAGGTCTGACATGCGTTATTAGAAATTCTTCCGATTGTGAAAGCGCTATTACT